AATTGCCCGAACCCGGGGGGCGGGGGAGGTTGCGGGGCGCCGTCCGCCCATTTGCCCCCAACCCTGGGAAAAAAAAGTAAAACCCCTTCAAAAAAAAAAAAAAAAAAAAAAAAAAAATTAAGCGTGCTTCAACTTCTGTATTTTACAGATAATCAGGAATGCCATTGCTTGCTTTTTTATGTGAAACCATTTTTAACAAGTATATAAAAACAAGAAATTTATAAATTTTATTTATTCAGCAAATACTAGCTATTATGTGTCTGGCACTGTGTCAGGCCCCCAGGTAACAGTCACCCAGACAGACACTATTCCTGCCCTAAAGAAGTTTGCACCCTACTGGGGGAACAAGTCTTTCAACAATAATTAAAGAAAAAAAAGTATTTTGATAAAGAATGTGTTAGAATTAGTGAATCTGTTTCTCTTGCAGAACGGTGATATGAGGTCACCCTCTGCAAGACAATTGGCCTTAAGATATGTGGTTTCTTGCTGTCCTTGTCCTTACCTCCAGGGGACCCAACAACCAAGTTCATCAGGCTACAGTGGGGCTGGGTTGGGCCTGGGTCCAGTGCATAGGACTTCTCCCTTTGGGATCCAGAGAACAGTATATTATATGTTTGTGAGAATCTACATGCTATTAAACTTCTTCCAGTCAGCAGAGACACTTTTTAATAGCAGTCTTGTTAAAGCAGAGAGTTTATAAATGAGGGTTTATAAAAACAAACATAGAAAAAACATAAAATGAAATGCATTAGCCATCTCAAGAATCTTTACTTTTGGGCCGGGCACGGTGGCTCAAGCCTGTAATCCCAGCACTTTGGGAGGCCGAGGCGGGTGGATCACGAGGTCAAGTGATCGAGACCATCCTGGTCAACATGGTGAAACCCCGTCTCTACTAAAAATACAAAAAATTAGCTGGGCATGGTGGCGCGTGCCTGTAATCCCAGCTACTCAGGAGGCTGAGGCAGGAGAATTGCCTGAACCCAGGAGGCGGAGGTTGCGGTGAGCCGAGATCGTGCCATTGCACTCCAGCCTGGGTAACAAGAGCGAAACTCCGTCCCGAAGAAAAAAAAAAAAGAATCTTTACTTTTGGAAAACATACAAACTTTATGCTCAGTTCTTGAGACTGGGGAGAATGGAGCAGATAATTTGAGTTTTTAAAAATATTTTTCTCTTTATAATCTGATAATCCAGCTACAAGATTCCTTTGATAGTTAATAGTTGCTCACACAACTTTTGCCTTGTAACTTTTTTGTGATTTTCAAATGCCTGAAGTATAAAGTGATACTTTCTTTTTTTTTTTTTTTGAGATGGAGTTTTGCTCTCATTACCCAGGCTGGAGTACAATGGCGCGATCTCGGCTCACCGCAGCCTCCACCTCCTGGGTTCAAGCAATTCTCCTGCCTCAGCCTCCTAAGTAGCTGGGATTACAGGCACGCGCCACCGTGCCCAGCTAATTTTTGTATTTTTAGTAGAGACGGGGTTTCACCATGTTGACCAGGATGGTCTCGATCTCTTGACCTCGTGATCCACCCGCCTAGGCCTCCCAAAGTGCTGGGATTACAGGCGTGAGCCACCGCCCCCGGCCTAGAGTGATACTTTCAAAGATTCACCTCTTGGCCCTAAATTTGAAAACAGACAAGGATATATATATATATATAAATGTTTTTTAAAACTCTTATTCACACCACTTTGCAATGTTCTAAAAGTAATGTATGGCTATACCAGAATCACAGTAGTCTTAATCAAGAATTAATTGTTCTTTGCTGAGGCTGGAATAGTAATTGGAATCAAGACATCCCAATTTAGGAACGGGAGAGGGATTGAGAAACTCTATTCTGTGTTCCCTTTAGATTTTTCTATAGTTCAGAGAGATGAGGAAGAACCTAGGCTGGGGCCTTTCAGCATTTCTAACCAAATATTATAGTTCGAACTTGCCCTCATCACTGAACCATCTGCTGCTGTGAGGTAGGCAATGTTTTCCAAAGAAATAATTTAGAATAATACTACAAAAATTAGTTACCTTTCTGTATAGTACCAGGAACCAGAAACTGACTAGTATGAAGAAACTGAAATAGAAACTACATGTAATTTTGATGAACTTACTGTTTTAGTTTACTTTTATTTTATTTTATTTTTATATTATAGCTTATGCACTGAGTGTAGGGAACCAATGAAAGCCCATTTATGGCTTAAGCACACTGAGTTCTTGAAGTTTTCAGAGTTTTGAAACAACTTGAACTTCGGAGTTATAAAACTACAATTTTGTTTGTAAATTCTGTTTTCAGACTTCTTTAGAAATGAGATAACAGGGTTAAATGATTTGAAGAGGATGGGAGTGGGAAGAATGGAGCAGAAAGAAAAGAATTTAAATGAGTCACTTTTGTAGCTTTGGATAAATCATTCAGGTTTTTTTTTCCTTTTTAACAGTTTAATTTAGTCTTGTAATCTGGAACATTTAAAAAAAGTAAATAGGTAATTATCACTTTAAAGAAATGTAATTGTTTATCATCTATCTTAAATGTAGATTGATAATTTAAAAATATTTTACTCTTAAAATTTACTCAAAAGCTATAAGAACAATAAAAAGAATTTCTGTTTACCCTTCATCAGATTCACCCATTACTAAAATTTTGCCACTTGTTTACAGAAATCACACTTCTTTACTCCTAAATATTTTGATGTATATGTATCCTCAGATCAAAGACACTGTTTTACACAACCACAGCACAATTATTAGAATCATAAAAATTGATGACACAGTCTGTTTGTTATATATTCAGATTTTACTAGTCATCCTTGTAATGCTCCTTAAAGTCATCCATTTTTAAATATGCTTCTGCAAAGAACTATTTATTCCAGATTAGTAACAGTAAGGGACTTCTGTGATATTTGTTTTTAATTCCAAATCATTAGTAAGTGTTATATTTCATAGCAAAGCTTATCTGTTTCTTGTTTTAATATTTGGCATCTGAATTAAAATTATCTGCTTTTATGAAATAAGTAGCATTGTATTTTTATCTTTGATACTTTGCACTTTTCATCCAAAAATTGAATCCACAAGATTTATTAACAAACATTTAGGCGCAGTGGCTCAAACCTATAATCCTAGCACTTTGGGAGGCCGAGGCAGGCAGATCACTTGACCTTAGATGTTTGAGACCAGCCTGGGCAACATTGAGAAACCCTGTCTCTATGAAAAATATAAAAATTAGCTGGGTGTGGTGGTGCACACCTGTAGTTCCCAGCTATTTGGGAGGCTGAGGTGAGAGTATTGCTTGAGCCTGGGAAGTGGAGGTTGCAGTGAGCCGAGATTGCACCAGTGCACTTCAGCCTGGGTGACAGAACAAGACTGTGTGTCAAAATAAAACAAACAAACTAAAAACCACAAATATTTGTCATTTCAAATCAAGGATTAGCAGACTTTTTCTACTTTTTACTTTAACCAAAATTAATATTTTTTTTAAAAAGCAAACAAAAATCATGTGCCTCTGCATGTGATACCTTGAAAGGGAGACAGTATCTCTTTTGTCCTATTTTAGGCAAAAATGTATAACCTGAATCTAATCATGAGAAAACATCAGATAAACCCGAATCGAGGGAAGTTACTAGAGTTTATTTTTCAGAAATGACAATGTCCTGAAAGACAAAGGCCAAAGAACTGTGCCAGATTTTAAAAAACTAAAGTGAGAGGAAATAAAATGCAGTGTGTAATCCTGGATGGATCCTGTCCTTGGAGGGGAAAGTACATTATTGGGGCAATTGACATAATTGGAATTTGCTCTGTAGTTATGCAGAATAATGTGTCAATCCTTAAATGTCTTAAGTGCCATAACTGTAATATGTTTATATAAGCGAATATCTTTGTTCTTAGGAAATACTTATTAAAGGACCTAATAGTTAAGATCTACTCTCAGATGATTCAGAAAATAAGAGAGAGAGAGAGAGAGAGAGAGAGAGAGAGAGAGTGTGTGTGTGTGTGTGTGTGTGTGTGTGTGTGTGTGTGTGTAGTAAAAGTGGCAAAATGTTACTAATTGGTGAATCTGGGAAGAATATGCCAAAGTTGTTGGTACTATTTTTGCAACTTTTCTGTAGGTTTGAAGTTTTTACTGTTTTTCACTACCAGTTCTTATTCTTGATTTGATGTTAAATACCTAGGAGTAAGAGCGTTTCCTTCATTATAAATAGGTAAGTCCTGCTTTACCCTGATTGAAAGTCAGCAGCCTTCTAAGAAACCTGACTTTAAAAGAAAGAAGCAGAATGCAGATCTAAGAGCAGAATAATTCTTACCAGAATTGTTTTGTGGAAAAAAGTCTTAAAAGTTAAATTAAGTACTTTTTTTTCTTGTTTTTAGATATTTTATGACCTGGTCAGACAGATAAATAGAAAAACACCAGTGGAAAAGAAGAAGCCTAAAAAGAAATCATGTCTGCTGCTCTAAGCCCATAGTCAGCAGCAGCTCTGAGCCAGGTAAGATGCTAAAAGCAGAACAAGTACCTTTCTCATCCTCTTATTTTGGGTTTTTCCAGACTTCAGCCACTTTCCATTTCATCTATTATGATATTTTTTTTTTTTTTTTTTTTTTTTTTTTGAGACGGAGTTTCGCTCTTGTACCCAGGGCGGGGGGGTAATGGCGCGCCGAGGTCGCGCCATAGCACCCCCGCCTGGGTTCAAGCAATTCTCCTGCCTCAGCCTCCTGAGTAGCTGGGATTACAGGCACACACCACCATGCCCAGCTAATTTTTTGTAGCTTTAGTAGAGACGGGGTTTCACCATGTTGACCAGGATGGTCTCGATCTCTTGACCTTGTGATCCACCTGCCTCGGCCTCCCAAAGTGCTGGGATTACAGGCTTGAGCCACCGCGCCCGGCCCATCTATTATGATATTTCTAAGTTTCTGTAACTTGTAAATGTGATTTATAACTTGTAGGTTAACTGTTGGATAACTTGACCTCTCCCCTTGAGCTAAGCTTTCTGACAGCCAGGAAGGACCGTGTCTATTTTTCTTACCACTGTGTCCCCAGTGCCTGACACAGAGTTGGGCATTAAAAAATAGTGGTTGAATGAATAGAACACTTTCCTAGATGACTCCCAAATTCATGCTGAATTGAAGTGAACCAGTAGTTGCTCTGAAACAAAAAGACATAAGTGTACATTTGGTGAATTACCCCAAAGTGAACACACCCATGCATAACAACAGGAGTCACTCTTCCCTAAGTTACATTAAAACTCTGCCCCGATTTCTAACTCCATGGATTAGTTTTGCCTTTTTTTGAACTTGACATAAACAAAAACGTAGTGTATTTTTCTGTGCCTGGCTTCTTACACTCAAAAATATGTTTTTGGGACTTATTTATATTAAATGTAGCAGTGGTTCATTTTTATTATGTGAGAGTACTGGCAGTATGTTTATGTATTCTGCTATTGGTGTTCATTTGAGTTCTTTCTTTGGGGAAATTAGCATGAATAATTCTGTGCACATTCCTATATGACTTTGTGCACATGTGCATGCATTTCTGTTGGGTATATACCTAGGAATGGAATGGCCAGATCATATGCTATACATATGGACAGCTTTAGTAGTTACTGCTAAAAAGTTTTTCAAAGTGATTGTACCAGTTTACACACTCTCCAGTGGCTTTTGAGTTCCACATCCTCCCCAAAATTGGTGTTGTCAGTCTTTAACTTGACCCATTCAGGGAATGTGTGGTGGTATATCAGTGTAATTTTGGTAGTCATTTTCCTCTCTGGTATGGATCAACTTCTTTTAAATAAAGGTTTCTATTTAGGCTTCTAAGTATTAGTTGACTTTTCTACTAGTTACTATTTTAGTTTCCACTAAGTGACCCTATTGAAAAGAAATTTATGACAGCATGTAAGCTGACTATCAAGTCTGTGGGGACTGTTTTTCTTTAATTATGTATTTAAATCCCCTGAACATTTCTACTTCATCAATTCTATAAATAATGCCATAAAAGAGTATTTTCATGGAGTGGATTTTTTATGTAATTTGATGCTAATTGCATCATTATTACTAAACTTGGTCTCCAGTCAGCGTAAGCTGGTCCCACTGGAGAGTTGGTTATACTAACTCTTGTAAATCTCTTGGGTTCATTTAGTAGATTCTCCCTTAAGACCTCCAAATTAACTAATATGTGCTTCCTTAGAGATATGAATCTTTCTCTTAAGGGAAACACCTGAGTAATTGTAGCTCCCTTTTTAAATGAAGGTACGTAGAGGAAAATACACAGAAAGAAGAAAGGGACATGGGGATTATCTCTGGTAGTCAGATTTAGGAAAAACAGCATCTGGCTAAATATTTGCTTTAGGCTTTTAATGAAATCTTAATTCAATAACTTTTTTTTTTTTTTTTTTTTCCGAGATGGAGTCTCGCCCTGTCATCCAGGCTGGAGTGCAGTGGTGCAATCTCTGCTCACTGCAACCTCTGCCTCCCTGGGTTCAAGCGATTCTTCTGCCTCAGTCTCCCAAGTAGCTGGGACTTCAGATGCACACCACCATGCCTGGCTAATTTTTGTATTTTTAGTAGGGATGAGGTTTCACCACATTGGCCAGGCTGGTCTCAAACTCCTGACCTCAGGGTGATCCGATCCACCCACCTTGGCCTCTCAAAGTGCTGGGATTACAGGCGTGAGCTACCGTGCGTGGCCTTGATTCAGTAACTTTAAATCATCAGTTCCCTGAAAGTGATTATTAAGATTACTGGTATATGTGTTTGTTTAGGCAAGGGTGCAAAAATAGAGAAAATGAAGGTTCCAGTTCCAGTTCTTAAATACTCTGTTATTTAACTCTTTTATATTTGACTGGCTCATTGACAGCTCATTATTATGGCTGGCCCTAGTTTAATTTTTAGTTCTCACAAAATATTCTTTTAGCTTATGGTTAAAGGAAAAGGTGCTATCTCCTGGCCTATTACAATTTTTAAAATTCATTTATGTACACCCAACAATGTGGCAGTGCCTTGTGAGTTTTACCTTAGAGAAGATAAATCTTGACCTAAATATGGAGTAAGACTTTTATCCTGCCTGCATAAATTCTTAGACTCTGATGTGTAATAAAGTTTACTTAATAAGTCATCCAAGATCTCTGTGGATGTTTGATAATACCAAATAATAGGTGACTTAGCAATCAGACTGCTTTGCAGTACATTTTACTGTGATTATAGACTTGAAGTGCCATGTTGTTCCTATACTTGTAAAAGTTCTGAAATACAGGGTAGATTTAAATAGAAATTATAAACCTTTTTAGTAAGAGAATATGAACCCTGAGGGCAGCTTATCTAGTCCATAGCTGTTAGGCAAAATTGAATTGAATCATGTTAATCTCTTTTTTATATGTCCCAGTTTTAAAGACATCAGAGAAAATCATTATCAGGATTCTTCCTTTAACCTAATTCTTCTCTGTTGACAATAAGACTAACTTTGATTCTTCTGCCCTTGAATATGGGGATTAGCTCTCTCTGTATCATCTCTTGCCTTAACCTGTATTAGAAATGGTAATTCTAATATATAATCATAAAATGCTCGAATAAAGAATGTCTTATGGAAAAGTTTATGGAGGCAGATGTTCTTTTCTTTAGTAAAAAAAGGAAAGTAAAAGTGGGATGGTAATGAGATAGAATAAAAATAGCATTGTTTTCCTCTGTACAGACAGGACAGTCAGATGTAATGGGAAACACTAAATATAATTGAGTATAACTAAATATAACTGAGGATAACTTAAGTTGATCAGTTATGGACTCCTTTCTTGTGAACTGAGTCTTCTATTTTTGATTTTTTAAAACATTTTTAAAGGGAATTTAAAATAACACTGTTACTGTAGCTGTTTAGCATAGTTTAGTTCTCAAGTTATGATCAGCTAAACTCATTATTTTTTTACTTTATTGGATACCTGCTTGTTTAGTACCATCTTCTGACATCAAGAGATTAACCATATATATGTGTATATCTGTATCCAATGTTTTAGATTACAGGAATGAAGAACTGTTGCCTAATTGGAAAGTGCCAGCATTCCAGACTTCAAAAAATAAACCTGAAGAGGCTTCTCCTGTTTTATATATTATGTGAAGAATTTAGATCTTATATTGGTTTGCACAAGTTCCCTGGAGAAAAAAAATTGCTCT